GGTTAGAGGGTCAGGTTCAATCAAGAGCACATACTCCAGTTGCAGGCTCTATCCTCACCCCAGTCAGGGCACGTGCAGGAGACACAAATTGATGTATCTCTCTCAGATACATTGCTTCCCTCTCTCTGTTTCTTCCCCTTCCTTCCACTCACTCTTAAAAAAAAGCAATAGAAAAATATCCTCAGGTGAGGATTAACAACAACAACAACAAAGTGATGGAAAAATTAGACAGATTAATGCAAAAAATGTAACAGACTTCTTTCTTACACTATCATAGTCATGTTTATTGTTATAAACTCAAAATGTATTAACTTAAATGTAAGACCCAAAACCATAAAACTTCTAGACAAAAATGTCCTAGAGTAAAACAAAGACAGTAAATTGTTTAACACCGCTCTTAGCAATTTTTTCTTTTTTGCATATGTCTCTCCAGGCAAAGAAAACAAAAGAAAAAATTTAAATGAGATTATAAAATTTTTGCAGAGCAAAGGAAATCATCAACAAGATGAAAAGATAACCTACTAAATGGAATAAGATATTCACCAGTGATACATCTGATAAGGGGCTAATATTCAAAAAATATAAGAAATTAATACAGTGTAACACCTAAAACACAAACAATCCAATTAGGAAATGGGCAGAAGACTTGAATAGACACTTCTTCAGAGAGGACATACTGATGACCAATAGCCATGAAAAGATACTTAATATCACTAATCATCAGAAAAATGCAAATCAAAACTACAATGACATACTACCTAACACCTTTAGAATGCTATTTATAATAATAAAAGCATAATATGCTAATTAGACCAGACGTCCTTCCAGATTAAGCTGGGGATGCAAGGGAACCCTGGATCCTGGGTGCCTGCCAGCAGCCAGAGGGAAGCCTGAATTCCAGGTGTCAGAGGGAAGCTGGTGCAGGCAGACAGGGGAAGGAAGGCCTAGTCTAGCACGAATTTCACACATCGGACCTCTAGTCACTAATAAACCAACAAGTGCTGGTGAGGATGGGAAGAAAAAAGAACCCTTGTGCACTATTGAGAATATAAATTGGTGCAATCACTATAGAAAACAGTATGGAAGTTCCTCAAAAAGTTAATAAAAGAACTACCATACGATCCAACAGTTCCACTTCTGGGCATTCATCTGAAGAAACCCAAAACACTAACCCAAAAAGACATATGCACCCCTATGTTCAGTTGTAGCATTATTTACAATAGCCAAGATATAGAAGGAAACTAAGTACCCTTTCATAGAAAAATGGGTAAGAAAGATGTGGTTCAGGGAGGGATAAATGATGGTGGAAGGAAACTTGACTTGAGGTGGTGAACACAAAATATAATACACAGATGATGTATTATAGAATTGCTCATCTGAAACCTATATAATTTTATTAATCAGTCACCCCCAAAATAAAATAAAAAATAAACATAAAAATTTAAAAGTTGTGTATCTATATATATATAAAAGCCTAAGCGACCATTATGATCAAATGGCTGGAACAACCAGTCGACCAGTCACTATGACATGCACTGATAGTCAGGGGCCAGACGCTCAATGGAGGAGCTGCCCCCTGGTGGTCAGTGTGCTCCCACAGCAGGAGTGCCACTCAGCCAGAAGCTGGGTTCACTGCTGCTGACCACAGTTGCAGCAGCAGGAGCCTCTCCTGCCTCTGTGACAGCACTACTAAGCTGCTACGGAGGAGCAGCGGGGCCGGAATGAGTGGCAGCAGTGCAGTGCCCAGCCCCAGCGAGGGCTCCTACCCAGCCGCCTGCTGCTTTGGCACTGCTACATCCCTTGGGGGATGTCAGACTGCAGGTTTCACCCAATCCTTGCAGGTCTGGCAGGGATCACCCGAAACTGGAAGTCTAACATCCCCCGAGGTGGCCTGGATTGCAATGAGGGATCCCACCCGTGTATGAATCCCTGCACTGGGCCTCTGGTATTATACAATGGAATATTACTCAACCATAAAAAAGACTGGAATCTTGTCATTTGTGACAACATGGATGGACCTAGAGGGTATGATGCTAAGTGAAGTAAGTCATACAGAGAAAGACAAATACCATATGGTTTGACTTACATGTGGAATCTAAAAGATAAAATAAGTGAACAAGCTACACAAAAACAAACTCATAGATACAGAGAACATTTTGATTGTTTTGTGGGATAGGAGGAAGGCGGGGAGATGGGTGAAAAAGATGAAGGGATTAAGAAGTACAAATTGCCAATTATAAAAATGGTCATGGAGATGTCATGTGCAGCACAGGGAATAATACTGCAATAACTATGTATCATGTCAGTTTGTAATAGGTTTATCAGGGTGATCATTTTTAAGTTACATAAATGTCTAACCACTATGATGCACACCTGAAACTAATATAGTATTTTATGTCAATTATGATTGAAAAATAAATAATAAAAATAAATCACATGCAACAACTCTTAAAATCTGTCTGTCAGGTTCAGTACCCAAACATGGGACAGGCACACAGCCAACAGCTCTAGCACCATCAAATTACCAACATTCAAACCAACCAATACAGATTTGGCCTTTGGTTTAATTCAGATTTCTGGACCTCAGCATTACTGACATTTAGGCAAGATAATTCCTTGTTGGGGGGCTGTCCTGTGCATTGTGGGATGTTGTGCAGCATCCCTGGCCTCCACCCTTTGTAATAGGACATCAAAATGTCTCCAGCCAGGCAGGTGTTGCTCAGTGGTTGTTTCCTGGCCAGGGCACAATTTGGGTTTGCAAGCTCAGTCCCTAGTAGGTGGCATGCAGGAGGCAGCCAATCAATGACTATATCATCATTGACATTTCTATCCCTGTCTCCCTCTCCCTTCCTCTCTGAAATCAATAAAAACATTAAAAAAAAGTCTCCAGAATTTTTTTTTTTTTTGGGGGGGGGGGGTGATTGTGAGATTTGAGCTCTTTCCCAACCCTGCTATGATGAACAGTAAAGTAACTCAGAAACTAAACTGTTCAGGAGGACGAGTCAGTTCTTTTAACCATAAAATAACTGAAATGACTTCCTTCCCTGCCCTGCACACACCGCAGAGTCATCATGAAGACCAAGTGTGTCCTGTGGGGAGGGATCTTCAGCTCAGCATGGCCACAGCCTCACTGGGGAGGGCCACAGACCCTGAATCAAAGGTTTCCGGGGGAGCATGCTGTGCACCACCAAGTCTAAGTAAATTCATCTTCAGCAAAGCTGAAAACATTCTGTTCATTATAAGAGGAGCTGACCTGTTATAATGAGATTTTTAAAGCCACGTTCACATGTTAGGAATTGCCATCAGAGAGGTGTGGAGTCTTCTCTCCAATTCAAAGGCAGAATGCAATGCCCTCTCCTCCCCCAAATAAAAGAAAAGGGCAGAGGGAGCTGGGCACATGCATGCATGCTCCTCAGCAGAAGCAGAACAGTCATCTGAGTGCAAACTCAAACATCAAAGGGAGGAGAGCCAGTAACGTGATGCCCGTGGCCCCGTGTCTCATGTGTTCATTCCACATCAGTGAACAGGAGACAGCGGCTGCCCGGCCAGGGCCTGGACGGACATCCACAAGGGCAATTTGACCCTCAACACATCCAAATGGAAAATGACAGAACAATAGTGTGGGACTGCTTTGATGGGACCCACCATTTTAACACAACCCCGAACCCACAGAACCACAATGTAGAAAAGCAAACCAAAGTGTGGGAGGAAACAGCTTTGCAGCAAACGATAAACAAACAGTTATTCAGATCAATGAGCAGAGACCACGGGAGTCACGTCACAGAAGGAGAAAAGGACTTTAGTACACAGCCACTCCAGTGAGTCGGAGGAGGGGCACACACACAGAACCAGTGGATTTGGTACCACTTTTGGAGATTGCGTGAGGGTGCTGAGTGGGCTGGAACAAGTTTCAGAAATTACTGGTGAAGACACATCGGGACCCAGTATAAGGGCCATGTCTTCCAATTAATAATAATACAAAGCACAGAAGAGCCACACATGTTAATATGGATCTTGCTATGTTGTGATAGTCCAGAAATGGGCAGGGACCTAAATAATCCAGGGGTTGGCAAAGGAACGACCCAGCAAACAAAGAGCCAGGCAAATGTGGAGACATCAATGTGATAGAATGTTATATAGGCATTTAAAGCAATAGTTGTGGGATGTGCATAGCATATAGAAAACCATCAAAACATAATGGTAGGTAGAAAATGTACTATACAAAATACCTTTGCTGTAATTTTAGTAATGTACAAATTTCCTCCTAGTCTCTCCCATATATAACACTGGGAAGAATCAGCATAGAGCACTAGCAGTGATACTGAAGGAATTAAGTTATTTAAAAATATATTCTCTTCTTTCCTCTTTATAAGCTTTATTATGTTTTACAAATTTAAAACCTAAACATAAATAATAGTTTTCCTAGTAATTTTTGAAATAAATCATGTGCTCCAAACTATATTGGCACCTTCTACCCGAACACCACCCACCTCCACGTCGCCAGGACTGCTGCTGGATTTCAGAGGCCTCCATTGGAAGAAAACAGACAAACAGTAGGAACTGGACTTTACATTAAGGATGAAAAGCTCAAAGCAGTTGCTTTATCCCAATTATCTTAATGTTTATTTGAATTCAATCCCATTTTAAGTGACTCTACATATATCATTTCTATAAGGAACAAGAGTATAGATACAACCAGTTTGAGGTCATTAATCTTGCAAGACCAGTTGACACCAAAATGGAATTTCGTGCCTGTCTCATCTCCTTCCACCCCTTACTCCCCAACACAGATCTCACAGAGGCACATCTGGACCAGGCAGCATATCCTCCTGGGTAAGCTCTGGTGGGGCTGGGCTCCCCTGCTGGCCCCGAACATGCAGTCAGCGCTGACCCTGGTTTCAGTCGGCAGGGCCCGACCCCAGCAGGTGTGAGAGCTCTGGGGGAGTGCGAGGCACAGATCCCGGGGGCCAGAGAGAGCAGGGCTGCCGGGGGACACTGACCTCATAGATGAAGTACACCTTGGCCCCTGTGTAGATCCCCATGCGCACGACGGCACGGACAGCGGCATTCATACCTGGCAAGGACAGGACAGGACAGCAGTTAGAGGAGAGACAGGCATGCATTGGCCGCGACCTCGGGAAAACGGGACCTCTCAGAAGGCTCTTGGATGAACAGCGGGCCTGACACACTGCTTCCGGGACAGCACCAGGATCTTAGGGAAACGCAGAGCAGGCAGCTGGGCATTTGCGAGTTCATTCATAGATGAACATCCTTATGTTCTTGGAGAAGCGCCTGGCGCATGTTTAATTAGAGTACCTTTGCTCAGCCACCTACAAACCTCCAGGCAACTCCTTCCAGTTACAAAACAACACAAGGGACAGGTGTTCGTTTATAGTTTGCCAAGTTCAAAGAAAATAGTACTGAAAAGGACCAGCAGTCTGGGATTTGAGGAGGAGGTAAAAAATAGACATTTTCATCACCAGCGTAAAAAAAAAAAAAAAAAAAAAAATCATCAGTGGCCTTAAATACAAAACAAGTCATGCTATTTTATAAAAAGAAATATTAAACCAATATCCTACATAATAAAAGGCTAATATGCAAATTGACAAAACAGTGGAACAACTGGCTGCTGTGATGTGCACTGACCCCCAGGGGGCAGACGCTCAATGCAGGTGCTGCCCCCTGGTGGTCAGTGTGTTCCCATGGGGGAAGCGCCCCTCGGCCAAAAGCCAGGCTCATGGCTGGCAAGTGCAGCAGTGGTAGTGGGAGCCTCTCCCACTTCCGAGGCAGCGCTACGGATGTCCAACTGCCAGCTTAGGCTGCTCCCTGCAGCCATCAGTCAGACATCCTCCAAGGGCACAGGCCAGGCTGAGGGACACCCTCCCCCCAGTGCACAAATTTTGTGCACCAAGCCTCTAGTTCTATAAATAACACCTAATCCAGATAAATCTGGGACAGGAAAGAGATGCCCCGCCCCAGCTCACACCTGTGTGGTTTATGGCACCTACGTGCTGAGGCTCACATCTCCCCGTTCACAGGGTCAGGTGTGCATGGAGCCTCCTCAACCCTCAGACCTGACCTCATAAACAAGCTCTCAAGGTCCCTCCTGAGTCTAGGCTTCCTGAGTCTAGGCCTGTATTCTGCTGTGGCCGCTGTCACTGGCAAATTAACCACCCAATGCTACACCACACCAGTGCTTTGTCTCAGGGAAAATTCCCAAGGTTGACACACCTTCTCCCTTCAGGACGTAGGAAGACCTTCATAAAGGCAGGATAAAGAACGACAAATTGGAGGTTTTAGACGTGGATAAGAAATGACAGGAGTGAAACTGTGACAAGGGGGACATGATCCAGAGGTGAGCCCAGGAGATCCCTGTGCAATAAAAGCCTGCCCAACGCTGACCTCTGTCCTACATGGTCTGAACAATTCTCACATCAGCTCCTTGGCTTCTGTCTCCCCCTGCCTCTTGGGGTGAAGCTGTGCTCACAGAGAAATGGCCTGTCACCTCTCTGCCTGCAGCGGCCCCAGATGGGGGTTCCAGGGCCCCAGGGGTTTCCCAGAAAAGACCCTGAGTACCGTCCTCTCCACAAGCTCCCAGGAGGTGAACTGCGCTCTGAGCAGTAGGGCCCAGCCTCACAGGCCTTATTCACTCCCTGCTCCTGTGATTTAGTAAAACCAGCTGGCCTTTCCCCTAGCTGGGAACTGGCAGCCTGCTGACTGGACCCGAGCTGATGCACCAGGCAGCCTCAGGGGCCTGGGTGCTCCTGGGAGACAGGGAGGTAGGGCTCTGAGCAGATGAGCTGACAGCCACATGAGCAAAATTAATAAATGGCAAAGAAGCTGGCATGCAAACCTTGGTCTTCATTTTATTTTATCTTAAAATATGACCTAATTCCCCCTAGGCCCGGGCAGTGGTCGGCAAACTCATTAGTCAACAGAGCCAAATATCAACAGTACGATTGAAATTTCTTTTGAGAGCCAATTTTTTTTAACTTAAACTTCTAACGCCACTTCAAAATAGACTCGCCCAGGCCGTGGTATTCTGTGGAAGAGCCACGCTCCAGGGACCAAAGAGCCACATGTGGCTCTTGAGAGCTGCAGTTTGCCTACCGCCCTAGGGCGATGGCTGTGCCTTAGAAGCACCAAAGGGAACTTTAAAAAAAAACTGCCCTTCCAGTTTTGTTGTTTGGGATGGGGCCTACTTGGTTAGTCAGCTCTCCTTTTCAACTGGGTGCACAGCTGGGACCCAAACTGCTGCAGGGGCTTTGTCCTAGAAGTGGCTGCCTTCTGAGGAGCACCCTGGAGGACAAACACCAAGGATCACAGAGAAAGTCAGTTTTCGCCGAAACCGGTTTAGCTCAGTGGATAGAGCGGCAGCCTGCAGACTAATGGGTCCCGGGCTTGATTTCAGTCAAGAGCATGTACCTTGGTGGCGGGCACATCCCCAGTAGTGGGTGTGCAAGAGGTAGCTGATGGATTATTCTCTCTCATGGATGTTTCTAACTCTATCCCTCTCTCTTCCTCTCTGTAAAAAAAAATTAAATATATTTTTTTTAAAAGCCAGTTTTCGCCCGTGGCCTCTCACGCACATGGTGGGATCCACACGGCGCCCCGCATAGGGGTCTGGCAGGCTGCTGGGTGAGCAGGGCCAGGTTCTGCTTTTTCAGTAACAGCTCCGCACAGTTGGGTCCATTCATTCTGCCTTTGTTTTGGTTTTGGTAGCCAGACCTGGGAATTAAGACAACTTTCACAATCATTTCCATGGGACAATGCAATCTAGCCACTGAGTAAGAATCTTAATATTTGGAAAGTAATGTCCTCCTCATTTGCAAAAATGTAAACTCCAGTCCTTAGGGGATGTACCAAACTGTGACAGGAACCAAAAATAAAGTTTAAAAAAAATTAGGGAGGAGTTAAATGAGGAGTGTGTGGTAATTACTTTAGATACAATAGAAAGAGTAGGTTGTTTTCTTTTTTTTAAATTTAAGTTATTGTTGAAAGTATTACATATGTCTTCTTTTCCTCCCAATGAACTCTCCCTGCCTGCTCCTGCCCCCAGCACATGCCCTCACCCCCCTACTGCCTGTGTCCATTGGTTATTCTTGACATTCCCTATTAATAGCTTCTTGCTAAACCATCATGTGCGTAAGCTAGTCACTAAGTGATTTCTTCCTTGAATCAGGGTGTGGGGTGGACTCCAGGTTTCCAAATGCTTCCTAAGATTCTGTTCTGGTGAAATGCAAATTTTGAGTACCGTATTTTTTGGACCATAAGACGCACCCGTTTTTAGAGAAGGGAAATGAAGAAAAAAAGATTCTGAAACAAATAGTGTCCTAAAATATTTTATGTGCATTAAAACCCAACATCACAGTCATAAACACATGTAATCAATCCTGTAAAGTAAACAGCAGCATTTAGAACCATTTTAGAGCCGGGCAAGCACACAGAGACCACACAGAGCCAGGCAAGTAAAAAAACTTTTTTTTTAAAGTATATGTGTAGGCTATATTTGGACCATAAGACGCAGGGACTTTTTCCCCCAACTTCTGGGGGGGAAAAAGTGCGTCTTATGGTCCGAAAAATACGGTAATTTGTAAGAGACAAGGCATGTGTTGATTCTGATAAAATAACTCGGGTTCATTCTTTCATTTCCTATGTGACCTGAGGAGTATGAGAAAGCTCCTTACGGATCCCATTTAGCCAAGTTCCCTGCTTATTTCTCAGTACTTATAACCCTTTCCCAATTCATGTTAATCTTTAATTTCCTTATTGAAAAATAAAGTCGGGTTGCTCAGCCCTCTTACTGGTTTCTTCCTGAATTCACATGGTTTTCATCTTTATACCAAAGCAAAGTGTGGGATATGTTAGAAAACAAACTTAAAACCCACCTTAACTTGCACTTGCTACTAGAGTTCTCCCTAATGGTTCCCCTTTAATGATTTAGGGATTGACAGGGGGAAAAAATCCTAAGGACAGAGGATCCAAGATGGCTGCTCTGGTAGACACCTAACCGCAGCAGCACACAACAATTTCAATGGAATACAACTAAAATGTAGAGTGGACATCGCCCAGAGCTACAGGTAGTCCACTGACTGAAAATTCTACAAGAAGGAAAATCAGAGGAGCTGAAAAAAAGCCTAAGGTACGAAGACATGCTGCGAGCTCGCACGCACGGAGAGGAGGAGAGGGCTGGGTGCTGCCTGGCGTTCCCTAGCAGGAAGGAAATAAAACCCCCAGCCTGGGCTAAACCCCCGAACTGGCAGCGCTGACCCCCAGTTATGAGCCAGACCCTGGGGATCCAGGCTCCGGTGGGGGATACCAGGCTGTGAGGCGGAATCCCAAGCGAGCAGCGAAAAGCAGGGCCCCTGGAATCGCGCGCACTTTGCACACAGAGGACTGAATGTTGACTTTGATGCTGGATTACCCTAATGTGAAGAAACAAAGCCTCCGGCGGCGCTGTGCCTCAGTCCGGACTGCTCTGAACCCCAGTCCTGGACCAGACCCTGGGGACCCAGGCTCGGGCAGGGGGAGACGGGGCTGTGAGGCAGAATCCCAGGGGAGTGGCGAAAAGCGGAGCCCCCAGAGTCGCGCGCACTGCGCGCAGAGGACAGTCTGTTGACTCTGATCCTGGACTCCCCTAGCTGGAAGGAGGAAAAAAAAAGCTCCAGACTGGAGGAATGCGACAGGGAGCAGGAGCCCCTGCTGGACACCAGCCAGCCGGGCACCAGCAGGGAGCTGGGCGATGGGGCCCCCAAGGGGGGTGCCCCTGAGCCATCGACCTCTGAGCGAGGGCAACAGAGCCAAGGCCAGGGGCTGCTTCCTGGGCGGCGCCGACCCCGGCAACAGGCTGGAGCAGCGCGGGAGCCTGCGGAGAACAAAGGGGTGCCACAGGCCAACCTGCTGAGCTCCCAGGATAGGAGGAAGAAACCAAAGTTCTCAATGTGAAGACGTCAAGTGAGAGCAAAAGATAGTAAAATTACTTAAGAAAGAATACAAAGAAGATCTTGAAAATTCAAAGACTAAGTCAGAACTCAACTCACCAGCCAACATTGCAACATAAATGCGTTAAAAAAA